CGTTCTTCTTTGCGGGGCAACAAAAGGAGACCCAGCTAATCAGCTGGGACTTGAGAAGCAGAGAATAGATGGGGGCTGGGACAATCAGAGGTGGTATTTGCTGGTTCTCCGAACTACTCAAAAGTTCTGCTACTGGTTCTCCAGAACTGGTCAGAACCTGCTGAATACCACCTCTGATTTCCCACCTCAGCCTATGTAATTCTATGAACACTGAGGCTGCATCCATTGATAAAATTTAATGGGTGCCCTAGTTTCCACTCATCACAATAATAGAAAAAAGGTTTAAAAGAAAAACTATTAACCTCATCTTCATGTTGACCTTGAATCTCTAAGCTGCTAAGAGGCACTATGCAATCTGGGGTGCTATTCGAGGTTATGACTGATTCTCCTGGGTTATCAGGATGTTCCCACTAAATGAAGGAAAGAAGAGCACAATGCTCTTTCTCATAAGTCTCTTGTCAAATCCTGGTAATAATCTTACTAGGAAAATTTGTCTAAGTTTATGAGGGTCATAAAAGTCTCTCAGTGTATGACAATAGGAGTAAAGAATTTTTTAAAAATGATTTTTAAAATTGTCCTAAGTGCAAAATTTACCAAAGACTCTCTTATGCTACCAGTAGATATAACAAATCTAGAAGCAGGTTTATTCCTCCCCCTTGCAGGTACACAAGATAATTTTGCAAGGAGGAGAAGTAAACATGAAAGATTGAAAATCCCTCGGAAAAACGTATTCATTTCAGTATGTAGATACTTGGTTAGTCTTCCAAAAAGAAAAGGGCATAGAGATTCTTTTAATTGTGATTAACATGTAGAAGTTTCTGTAGTTTATTGAATATTATCTTTATTGCTCTTCACAGAAGGCTTATTTGTAAACGCCATATAACTGAATTACTAATAAATAATAAACTTACTTATATTAACGTGCAATGCTTCTATATTTGAAATATGACAAGTACTGTACTAGTGATTTATAACATACTCCAGCCATTGTTGTGGCAATATATCATTATCAAAGACAGGCTTTATATCACCACAGCAATATATGAATAATGCTGTAAACACCTAGTGCAGAAATGCTATATATCACGTCGGTTTACCTTTTTAAATAAATATAGCATTGAAGTTGCAACTCAAAAACATTGACTCTTTGTACTTTTATTCTTTTGAATATAAGAAGCACTTAAGGACAGAGAGCAAACCAGAGATGGACTACTTGTTCTCCTTTTCCCTGCTTGACTTTGTCAGGGTTGGGAAGGAAGAAAAAGATGGGCCTGGATTAGTACTTAGATGTCCAAATTACACCAGGGCTGTGGGCTAGAGTGGGAAGTTGAAAAAACATCCTAGAAGGCAGCACTCTTATATTGCAAAGAAAACAGGATCATGTTCAAAATGGTGATAAAGAGACAAGATCAGCCTGAAGATGGTACTTATTCTTCAGAACTCTTCCTTTGAACTGCTTCCTGAAGTACTTTTTCTCCCCTAACTTCTGCACTACATCCTACAACACCTTGAATCTCCAAATACCTACGCAAGGGTCTTCTTTCTGACTTTAGTACAGCATTCAATACCAATATTCCAGACATTCTTCTAACTGAACTAAACCAGCTAGCAATACCTGAACACACTTGTAAGTGGATCATAAGCTTCCTAACAGACAGGAAGCAGCAGGTGAAGCTAGGCAGAATCACATCTGATACCTGTACAATTAGCACAGCTCCCCCACTCCCAAGGCTGTGTGCTTTCTCCACTTCTCTTCTTCCTATATACCAATGATTGCATCTCAAATGATCCATCTGTTAAAATACTGAAGTTTTTCAGCTGATACAACAGTGATTGGTCTCATTCGAGACAATGACAAATCCGTATACAGACAGGAGGTTGTACAACTTGCCTTGTGGTATGACCGGAAAAATCTGGAACTGAACACACTCAAAACCGTAGAAATGGTGGTAGACTTTAGGAGAAATCCTCCCATACTATTACCTCTTACAATACTAGACAACACAGTATCAATAGTAGAGACCTTCAAATTTCTAGGTTCTATCATATCACAAGACCTCAAATGGACACCTAACATCAAAAACATCATAAAACAATGAAGAATGTTCTTTCTGCACCAACTGAGAAAGCTCAAACTGCCCAAGGAGCTGCTGATACAGTTCTACAGTGGAATTATTGAGTCTGTCATCTGCACCTCTATAACTGTCTGGTTTGGTTCTGCAACCCAACAAGACAGACACAGACTTCAGAGAGTAATTAGGACTGCAGAAAAAACGATTGCTACCAACCTGCCTTCCATTGAGGACCTGTATTTTGCACAAGTCAAAAAGAAGGCTGTGAAAATATTTACAGACCCCCTCACATCCTGGACATAAATGGTTTCAACTCCTACCCTCAAAACAACACTATAGAGCACTGCACATCAGAACAACTAGACACAAGAACAGTTTTTCCCCCAAACGCCATCACTCTGCTAAAGAAATAATTCCCTCAACACTGTCAAACTATTTACTAAGTCTGCATTACTAATACTATTAATCCTCCCATCCTTCCTTTTATCTCCTCCCACTTATGACTGTATGACTGTAACTTTGTTGCTTGTATCCTAATGATTTTTATTGATGGTTTCTTAGTATGATTTAATTGCTTATTGTACCCTATGACTGTGATTAAATCATCAATATTAACTTTATCATTCTTGACTCTTGACAAATGTATCTTTTCTTTTAGGTACACTGAGAGCATATGCACCAAGAAAAATTCCTTGTGTGTCCAAACACACTTAGCCAATAAAGAATTCTATTCTATTCTATTCTATTCTATTCTATTCTATTCTATTCTAT